AGTATCCTGCTTATGCAATACCAGGAACTTTTCCTCAGACAGTTCCTCGATGCACTGGCCGTCGCAGTGGGCAATCAACGGCGCCCTATCTGCTGCATCGAGCAAGGTGGATAGGGGTTTGGATGCTACTGCTCAAGCCTTCCCATCTTCTTATTCCCTCTTTTTTCTCTTTTACCGTCCCTTTCTAACTTCACTTTTATCCCCCCTGTTTTCTACCCCCGATTCTTGGCCCTCCTCTACCTTGCTTAGACAGGCTTTTACCTTTTCGTTTCAATTCACATGTAAACGCCGGGCGTCATTCCTGCTCTGTCAACGTGCCCATGTCCAAGCAAGCGGTCAGTCCCAGTTCATCGGCTTCCATTTGGAGCCTTCGATCCTCCCTCTGATTGGCATGCCTCATTGTACGCACATTGCTGCAGCTCGGTCAACAGGCAGCACTTGCCCGAACATTAGAGACCCTCTCGATCGATATCTGCTGCTTATCGGAGACCCGCCTGCAAGACTCGAGCTCTGTGCTTACTCTGCGATTCCTTTCAGGTGACACAAACAGCACTTTCTCATTGCGCCTCTCCGGTGACGATGCAGCTTCGAGCACCGGACAAGCCGGTGTCGGTATTGCCTTGGGTTCCCGGGCTGAAGCTGCTCTGGTTGACTGAATTCCAATCAGTATCCGGATGTGTGCGGTCCGATTGGCTGGCTCGTTCAAAGCCTCGAAGTCGCGCGGGACTAACAGGTGTCTATTCGTTATCGCTGACTATGCATCCACAAACTTGCGATGATTTGGTAAAAGACGACTTCTATCACTAATTGAACGGGCTCCTTCGACACAGAAGGAGCTCAGACACTGTTGTGCTGGCAGGGGAACTGAACGCTCAGGTTGGAAAATGGTCCTCTGGTGAACTGCATCTAAGCGGTCAACATGGTGTAGGCTCCCGTAATGATAACGGTGAGCGGTTACTTCATTTGTGTGAAGATCTTCGCTCGTTTCTTCGAGCACTAATTTCGACACAGCACGCGCCGGAGAGTGACTTGGCGCCCACCAGCCTTGGACACAAATCGATCACATTGTGATAAGTTGCCGCTGGAGAGGCTGCATCCAGAACTGTTGCTCGATGTGGAGCACATGTGTGGACACCGATCATGCACTTGTATGTGCTGACATGCAGAAGCGCTTTGGAGCACGCCCACTACGACGCTGTGAGCGCATTGACACCAGCCAACTGGCGAAGCCAGCTGTTATGACTACCTATCAAGGTACGCTGTCATGCGAGTTGCATAAACGCTCACTAGATGCAATTGAAGCTCACTGTTCTCATATTCACCAGACTTTACTAGCAGCAAGAAACTCCTCATGTGACATGTCTAAGCGCCAAATTGGACATTGGGTCTCTTCACAGTCTCTGGAACTTATCGATGTTTGCCGACATATTTCAGCTGGAAGCGAACACAATTAAACTCGCAAACAGCTCCGTGCAAAACTCCGTGCTAGCCTGAAGTGAGACCGCGAATTCTGGTGGTCTCATCGTGCGTCAGAGATGGAAGTGGCAGCTGCCCTTGGTAACCATCGGGAGTTCTTCCGTCTGCTACGGGGAACGGGCAACAGAAGACCTAGTGTTCGTAAGACTATACGTGACGAGAGTAGACAGCCTATCCACAACTTGTCAAAACGCTTGGAGCGTTAGGCTGATCTTTTTGAAAAGCAGTTTAATCAGCTAGATTTGTTCGATTCTTCCCCGGCCAGTGATCACCCTGGTCGGTGGGCTCTCCCTTTGGATCCACCCTCTCGCTCAGAAGTGGAACGTGAGATCGGACTGTTGAAGTTAAACAAAGCCGCGGGACCAGATGATCTTCCTCCAGCCCTCTTCACATCCGGGGGACCTGCTCTTCTAGATGCTTTACATGGATTGCTAGTGAAACTGTGGGAGCATGAGACTGTCACAACCGACTGGAGCCGCTCCGTCATGGTTCCGATTTTCAAAGGAGGCTCACGATCGGAATGCGGCAACCATAGTGGTATCAGTCTGATCTCCATCGCCTCCAAATTGCTTACCTCTCTCCTCCTTCACAGACTGACTGGCGCTTATGAAAGCCAGCTTCGTGAAGAGCAAGCCGAGTTTCGTCGAGGTCGTGTCTGCATTGACTACCTGTCCACTTTGCGTGAGTTTTTGTAACACCATCACATATATTGGCAGCCCACTGTTGTCGTGTTCCTTGGTATCAGAGGTGCATTCGATTCCGTAGATCGGTGTGCACTTTGGGACCGTCTACTCCGGAAAGGTGTACCTGAGAAATATGTATATACTATGCGATCACTGTACACGCGTAGCTCAGGCAGGGTGACGGGCTTAAGGCCAGCTGTCGTCGCCCTTCAGTATCTCCAGCGGTGTGAGACAAGGATGCCCGCTGTCACCTTTCCTCTTTAAGTTCGCTATTGACGAAGTCATGGAAATCGCTTTCACAGGAGACGACTTAGAAGGTGTGGATCTGCTCTCAGGAGAACGACTTCTTGACTTGGAGTATGCTAACGATATTGCCCTAATCTATGAGAGCTCGCAGACGTGCGAAGCTGCACTGGACAGATTAGCACTGGCTGTCAGTCGCTTCGGGCTTTGCTTTGCACCATCGGAGTGCAAACGTTCCTCCAAGATTGGCATGGATCGCCTCGTGCGCTGACCCTTGGTGGGGATCAGCTAGAAGTCGTTCAAAAATGCAACTACCTGGGAAGTTGTATAAGCGCCCGTGGGATCACGAACCGTATAGCAAAAGCTCGAGACGCTTTTGCTAACCTTCGCTACTTATGGCGCCGGCGCGACATCACTCTCGCCCTGAAGGGTAGGGTGTACAGTGCAGTGGTGCCTTCGACCCTACTGTACGGTTGTGAAACCTGGCCCCTTAGATCAGCTTACATGAAGAGGCTAGTTGCGTTCGACCACCGGTGCCTTCGCAATTTAACTCACATCTGGTGGGAACACCGCGTGAGTAACGAGCATGTTCGACTCCTTGTTTACGGCACAGGGAAAGGAAATGAACCGCTCAGCAGCGTTATTTCACACACCAGGCTCCGATGGCTGGGCCACGTGTTGCGCATGCCAGCCCACCGGCTTCCACGACGTGTGTTGTTTGCGCGCCGGGGGTGTGGATGGAAGAAGAGGAGTGGCGGCCAAGTGATGACTTGGTCCAGAGGAATGAAGGCCCTTACTTCGGATCTGGCGTCGCTTGAAGCGTCTGAGCTCTCTGGTCGGGGTCCGGGAGACGATGAACACGTTTGGCTAGATACACTTATTGATATGGCAAGGAGCCGACCTCAGTGGCGTTCGTGCTGTGAGTTTCTTTGTCCCACCCCATCCTTCTTAGCCTCTTCTTCCATCCACGATCTCATTGCTTAGCCTTTTATACTTTTTCCATATTAAATTATTTTTTCTGCTGCAGATAGCTTACCGAAAGGATGCCCATCCGTTACCGGTAGCTCTGCTGGCTTGCGCCTGTTGCATTTTATCCTCTTCTTTCTTTTAGGTATTACGGCACACTAGCTGAGGTGTTTCGCGCCCCTAGCTAATGTGTATAGTAATAATAATAATGCGAATAATGCGAATAATAATAATGCTAATAGAATAATAATAATAATAGTAGCTATATATCTGGTCCGTCTGGTGGGGTCGGTCGGATTTCACTGTTGTGTTCCTTGGTTTCACCTCACCAATACAGCTTTCAAGACATTATGCTTACCATCCTAGTTACTACCGATCTGGGCTACGCCGGCGTCCTGTTTTCTCACTCACCCTGATGTTATCATTTTGGAAGGACGAGAACCTATTGGCGTCAGCTATACGCTTCTTCGCATCCGTCCTGTTTTACATTAACTCAGAACGTGCGTACACTGTGCCGTTGTACTTCATCTGGAGTTTGACCCTTCCCTTTTGGTGAACCTGCGAACATTTATCTACTTATCTTGCAGCCATGAGTTGAACTGTGGCGCCTTAGTATCAATCAGTCTGCTTAATGCATGCTCTTGGTTAAACTGCACATGTGACCGTTTTGGATGAGTTTGCTCCGCGGGTATGCTTTGCTGTTTGACCCAGACATAGCGTTGAAACCGACCCACCTGATCCATTATACTGCGTGTAGTCATTTCACAGCAACCTTCATCAGACATCCGTTTATCTCGGTGCCTCTGAAATTCCATGTCTTGTCACTAGTCAAAAGGGTCAGACGATTCTCTCTTTATAGTCTGCGTCGGTTACTCGGACCTGGTGTTTCGACCAGAATTGCTATGATATTTATGGTCCACCTGATACGGTGTCCCTCGGTCGATACTTCCCTAGTAGTCCGTAGGCTGCCACCAATCTTAGTTCGATAGACTGGACCATACTGACCCCTGTGCACCATTTTGGAACCCACAAGCCCCTGTGCAGGAAGGAGCGCTGGTGTTTGTTCTTGCTTTAAGCGATATCCTCGAAGACGTTCCACTACCGGACCTTAGAGTTAGTATTTTACCTACATTTGATGAGCTTATTTCACCGAAACGTTTTATACGCCTTCATACGGCTATGTTTCATTCTTATTTCGGTGTCCACTGGTTTCTTATTTCGCTTTCTCGTGGATTACACTCCTTGTATTTTATTTCCGCTTATAGCGAAGTAGCTATGATCCGAAATGCGACCTTAGTTCCTTTCGTCAACACATTTTCCCGATCGTACACTTCCGATAAGAGCTTACAATCACCGTATCTTCTCGGCACCGAGTTCTTATCACACTTATCTTATTTATGACCCCCACTCGGGCCTTTTATCATGCAATGTACGTCTCCTCAGTCACTTTCCTAGTTTGGCCGCCAACCACGATGTAACGGTCGTCCTTTGTATCTCTTCTATCGCGGCATTAACTTCGCGACTTTTTATCCCCCGCTAATAAATTATTCTGTCCCGTTGGACAAGCTATTTGTCTCACGACCTTGCTGACAATTCCCGCTTTGTGTTCTTTTCTCCCCTTCCCTTCCGTAGCTGGTGATGGAGTATTGCGGTGCGGGCTCAGTGACGGATCTAGTTAAAAGTGGGTGTGTCACATCGTGTTGCTCAACACTCTCCCTATGTGCTTTATCATGATACCCTCCTTTGTGAATTATGCACTGTTCGCCTGGCTTGTGTGCACCACTGGTTTCACATAAGCAATCCAAACACAACTTTGGATGTCGTTTTCGTTATTCGTTCTCTCTCTGCGACCAAAACTCGATGAGTCGGCTGTTTGCTTTTGATATTCTTTTATCTCAGTTTGCAGTCTGTGAAAACTATTCAATCTCCGCTGATCGCTTTATAATCATTATTTTCTTTGCAATCCTTGCCTTTATTAAATCAAGCCGTCTGCACCTGATTATACTGTATATTAGATGCATTCTAGGCAGCACCTGTACCACTAATCGCCAACATTGGCTACGAACTGTGTTCGGTTAATGATGCTTCAATTAACTCGTTCAAGCAGGTCACTTGGTTTTCGTTACGTCTCTTGCTGCTGTCCTTTCTTTGTTGCTGTCCCACCGTTTCAAAATGGCTGGCTGTAGCCACACGTTTTTCTCCCGTAATTCGTTCGTTTCTTGCTCGGTTCTGCTTGTGTCATGCACCACCTGCGAGCGTTTCTCGCTTACCACCATTCGCGGTCATTTTCCAATTTGTCCCGGTTACCATCGCCGTCCTCATTAGCTCAGCTCATTCATTAAACCGCGTTATTTGTCACCATAGGCACTCGAGGACAGTCTCTCAAGGAGGATTGGATCGCTTACATCAGTCGCGAAATCCTACGCGTAAGTCCACTTTTTGCATGCTTCACACCCAGTTCCTTCCCGGTCGTCGTCCCTGACTGTGTTTTGTGTTTCTGCGCTTTACTCTCACTTTTGTCTGCGACAATTCGGAGGAATGGGTATTTGTTGTTCCCTTCATCTTTATATGTAAACTTGTGCAAACGTTTTCACGTTAGTGGCAAAATTGTGCGGTTGTATGGAGTCGGAACCGCTGCAGAGTATTCTAATGCTGTACTTAGACGGTCACCGGCCCGTACACTTAAGGATCACAAGCCTGCCTTGTAATCCGAGTACGAGGGTTCGAACCTGCGTAGGGGACCGGGTGACTCTAGCAATATCCTTAGCGAACGCGCGACGTTTCCTAGTTGATTGGCAGCGATGCGTCGGCCTTGCATACCGGCGTACTGCTGATGCCTTTTGACATAGTCGCTCAGGAGTAGATCGTCTACCAACAACAGTTATCCTGAAACGGCGGTACTGCATCCACAATATGTCTTCCTTACTTATTCCATCATCCGGTTTCACAATCTCCATCGCCATCTCAGGCTTGTATCTATTGGAATCAACACCTTTGGAGTCAGTTACTTGCAATTTTCTGCACCATATCGCATTGCACCAAATCCATCTTTGAGCCCTACGTTGATAAACCAGCATGTTCCTCCTGTATAAGTATTGTCTTCTTATATTTGACTGTTGTGTTCGATGCAGAAATCGAACTTTTCGGAAAAGATGTCTTCTCTTCCGTACCACGCAGCCGTTTTAAACGGGATTTTTAACAGTTTTTTGAACAATTCCATATGTTTCATTTATTATGGCAGTTTATTTTGTTTACCTGACTTCAACGCTTGCTCAATTTTGTCTGCGTCTTCTACTTTTCATGCGTTTCTCTTCCACATCGTGTTCACTCCGTCCTCCACTGCTTTGTTTCCTGTGCCTTTGCCGCTCTTCAAGCGGCACATGGTCGGCCAACACGTTCCCCATTCACCGCATCCCCTTGAGGGTTTTCCGCTCCTCAGCTGCCACTCTCTCAAGCCTTATCGTCATTCTTGTGTCAAATGACCCAACCCATAATTCATGGCTAGATGGACCGTTCTTTACCCTCTGCGTGCTAACTTCCAACACCGTGACGAATAGTGTTTCCGTTTTTGAGCACATTTTCCGCGTGTCATTGAACGTCAATCAAACAGTATCACTGCGGTGATATTCCGTACATTGACTGTTCATGGTGTGTCGTAAATTTGTGTTATTATCTACACTTTTTAGTTTCCCATCATATCCGTTTCTTCGTCCTGTTTCGCTCATATTCGCTTCAAGACAACCAGTGGGCTTCAGACGGAACTAACGGTCGTATAGTTAAGTTGCACCTGAACTTTGTCCGCGCTGCACATCCTTTCCATTTCTGCCGATTCTTTCCATATTACGGCACAATAGCCTTGTTGTTTCCCATCTCTAGCTAACGTGCATAATGATTCATAGATACTTCTGCACTCGTTTCTGCGCTCGGCCAACCCCGTTTACGTAAACCTGGCACTGTTTTGGTGGCAGCAATTTCGCAATGAGGTCCCGACCAAGTTTTCCCATTGTGAATCCGTGCAATTTCTCACTAGAGAACCTGTTCATCGATCAGTTTAAGTGGTGGGCACGAAAGTCCTGTGTTTCAACCTACTATCATCTAGATATACCGAGCATTCTAGTCCATTTTTCAATCGACCTGCAAATCTCATTTCCTCACCTTTCGTTTCACAGGGTTTGGTCCATCTGCACGCCAATCGGGTTATCCATCGAGATATCAAAGGGCAAAACGTGCTCCTCACTGATAATGCCGAGGTCAAGTTGGGTACGTTTTTACCTACTTTTGTCGTGCTTCTACTGTTTTTTGATGGCTGTATTGTCGATACAACAATGAAAAACACCGCGATACGCTTAAGTGAACAATAGTTTTCGATTACTTGTTCCTCAGCCTTAGACAGTAGTGAACATGGGAACAATGTTGGCTTCCATTCGTTAGTTCGAAAAGGAAGCGATTAACTAGATTCTAAATGAGATCACAGTGTACGTCGACTGATCATCATGTGGTCAAAGTCATGTGAATTTTCTGACTAAGTTGGCATCGTTCTCCTCTGGTGGCTTGCCATGGCATGTCATGTTTGAGAAATCCCACTCGAGCATTGTTTTCGAAGTTTTTCAGCCATGGACACGAGCCGGTTCCCTGCACTCTCGTCACACTAATCTTATGGCGAACGTTCCGCTGTGTAGCCATATTCTTTCCAGTTTGCTATCAAACACTCGGAACTTCTTCACTAGTTTATGTTTCTGTGACTGGGTCGCCCACTACGCACCTGTTGCGTCTAGTTAAGACTCGTGCTCAGCACGTCCCCATGCAACAGGTTTCCTTTTTGGTCACTTCCCCTGCGATTAGTCATCCTGAGTGCGATTACAACTATTCTGTTCGGTTTCACGAGCCACTTGCAACCAGGACCCGGGATTCGTCTGGTGCGCTGCAAATTTGAGGTTGCCTTAATCACTGTTTGCTGCCATCATTCGCACTGCAGCTGCTTTCCAAGTCGTATTTCTCATCTCGTGCAATCGATCCGTACCACTTGACGATATGAATGAACTGAGTTTATCTTGCCTTTGAAGACACATGGGACGCCGTGCGATGTGCATGTGTGACCAGATTATACACATCACAACAGATGGAGTGCATCAGAGTTACCCTGTTTCCTTCGAAAATGCAAGTACCCAGACAGATATATCAGCGCCTGTAGGATAGAATATGAGGTCATGAACGATATAAAAAATACGTGGCCATTTTGGTTATCTTTTCCGCTCATGGCGATAGCGTGACATCACTCTCACCCTAAAGAGTAGGGTTAAGAATCCTGCTGTGTGTTCGGACCTTATGTGCGACTGTAACACTTGAATTCTCAGAACGACAAATGTGCGTATACTAGTTGCGTTTGACCATCGATGCCTTCGCAGTTTAGCTCATGTCTGGTGCGAACACCTTGTGCGCAACGAGCGTGATCTGCATCTTATTTATGGAACAGGGGGATTAAGCGAACCGCTCAGAACCGTCATTTCACGCACTACGCTCCGACGGTTGGGCCATATGTTGCACATGCCAGCACACGGATTCCCGCGACGCGTTGTTTGTGCGGCTGGGTTATGGACGGAAAAAGAGGAGCTGAGGCCAATCGAGAGAAATGAAGTACTTCATCTCGAACTTGGCCTCAATTGGAGCTTTCCGATTCCCAGGTTGGAACCCGAAAGACGACGAACACGTTTAGTTACCTTTTTCAACAATACTCGGCGCCAACCTAAGTGGCGTTGTGAGCTTTTTGTCCCCTTTCTGCGTAGCCTCCTCTTCCAACCACGATCACAGCCTCGACACCTGATTTAAAACGGGTCATGATATTATTTTTGTCTTGTTTTTTCGTGCTTTTTCTTATTCATTCATTTTCACCACCATCTAATTGAATTTTATGGCTACACAACAGTTGGCGTGTATATCGCTTCCAGTCAGCGTGTGGAATGGTGGTGCTAACCGAAATTATCCCACATTCTTCCATTTTTCTTGTGCCACGAGTTCTGCAAGGCGATCGGCTGTGAAGCTTAATGAATTCGGGCGATATACAGCTTACCTTTGTTTAGACCCATATGCATGCAAATGCCACTGAATAGTTTGAAACGTAGAGGTATACGCTTCGGTCTATAATTTGCACCTTCAAAGGGCTACAGGACTGAACCGATTCATTTCCAGTGTTCGCGACCACCAAACAACCGCATCACTAATTGAGGCCACTGCGTGTATTTTCAGTGCGAGTTTAGTTTTCTTAAAGCCTCGGTCAGGTATGGGTAAGGTGGGATGTAATCTCAGTGATTTACAACACAGCGCGCTAATATCAACCTCAACCAATATTCGTCAGCAAACTGACTATCATGGGTCGAACTATTCCCTCAGTTTGCTTTCCCAGACGGGCGATTTGCTTTGCTTTCAGCCCGTATTCACCGATGTCGAGCAGTCTGTCAATCCGATTCTGCAGAAACAACGTCGTGTGATGCTGCTGCTGCTGCTGCTGCTGCTGATAATGATGCTGGTGATGTATACTGAGAACAGATAGTGAGATAAGAATATATGTTGCTCCATTGTAGGTGGATCGGACATGTGTGGAACCACGTCGCTGATTCCTGCGCGGTGACAGCATATTACAGCTGCACTGCAGTGGACGTCAAGAAATCTCTTAAGTCCCCACACCGCTTTCGTCTCGATTAGCGTCTCCGGCAACATTACAATATTTCACCACTTGACGCTCAAAGCATAGTGGGTGAGCGATGCATTTTAAATCCGGTACCACTAATTTCTAGCGATGTTCGCGTGTCTTGCTTGGTGCGCGAACGTGCGGCAGCGGCCTCAACATAGGGAAATGACCCAGGTACAATATTCGGCGGATCATTATATCAACTCGAAGCCGTCGATATGACGGGTTAGAAACTCCAAGTCTCCTACATCGGTCCTCGTACGACGTACCCCGGAAACTGGAGATGAGACGGTTAGCTATATGCTGGACCTGTTCCATTCTCTGAACCTCACCTATTATGATCGAACAGTAGGCGGAGATAGCAGACCTCGAACCTGGTACCATTGGAATAATAGCCAATGGTCGCGATTTCGCGGCCTACTATCTCCAGGTGATGAGATCAAGTGAGATCGAAACGCGTCGTGGTTGTGCAGTGTTTTCGGGCAACACTCAATTTCTATCGGCTTCGCCTATCGTCCCAGTGATGATATTGACCAATGTTCACTTCATTATGAATCGTGTACTACGTTAAGATTGCGCTTCGCAATCAAATCACACAACGTATAGTCCAAGGTTAACCATCTGATCGGTCATTCACCGTTGTGTCAAGAGTTGCCCGCCGTGGCCCGATAGCCAAAGGGGTAGAGGTTTCGATTACTATTCCAATGGTCGTGGATTCTAGGCCTGATATCTACACCTGATGAGATGAAATGACATCGAAACGCATCGTCGTTGTGCAGTGTTTTCTTGTGGGCAACACCTAATTGCCATCTGTTTCGGTTACGGTCCCAGTGATCAGAGTGACCAAGATCCACTTCCTTGGGAATCGCGGACTACATTGAGATTGCGCGTCGCAATCCAATTACACAACATGTACTTCAAAATGGCCCTCCAATCATTTCTCTCCATGTTTAACCGTGCTTATGTTTTCTCCCGGTGTGTATCAATTGGGCCACGCGTCTTATGTTTACGCCACTATTTTCATCCCAGTGAATCCCACCTCCGATTTCGATTTGCGACCTCCATGCAGCCTCACACTTCTGGTCCATCTCGATCGACCCAACTTCGTCGATCCTTTTACGTCGTCATGACATTCATCACTGTCAACCGCACATCGTTGTCCTGTGTGAACACATCTTTGTCACGTGGCCTTGTTTCATCTGCCAGCGTTAGTTAAACTTGTAAGCGGGGATACAGAGATGGACGAGTGGACCAAAATGTCATTCTGACCTAGGTGTGTTCCTACCCCCGAGTTGATATTCAACTATTCGTGACCGAGGTGACACATGTCAGTAGTTGACCTCCTGTCCACCTTCTTATTCCATCTAATTAGTGGCAGTTTTCCGCTCCGAATCGTTCCAGTGGAGAACGGTGCCTTTCAGACTAATGGCCCTATTGCAAGGGCACAGTAGCTGCATGGTGTTTTCTTCCGGGGTCACGTCATTTGAGACTTGATAAGTCACAAACCTTTGGTCTGTGGATCTGAATAAAGCGGGACAACTGTGTTGAGATGGTACATCTGGTGCTTGACAAAAACAGCTTTATTTTCCCAGTGATCAAGAATGACAGTGGTTAGAATTTTCGACGAGCAATGAAGTCCGTTGTTCGCATTGATGGTTCGCCTCAAGATACAGATTGGGGCTCGCGTGGTCCACCCTGTACCTTGCTCGCAGTATTGTAGTATATGGTTTGCAACAGACACCAGTGGTGTGTTTGCTTTGGGTGGCCATTGGGACTGCTTATCTGTTTCTTGCTTAATGATGCTTACAGCGCGGGATGGGAAAACCGCTCTGGGGCTGTCTCCTCGTTATCACCCCCTGACAGCCCCATCGTCATACACCTGTGATTCTCTTTAGCCCCATACTGCCTATCATCTGAAGATGCTTCAGTCCTTCACTTTGCACAACGCAGCCCTCCAACTGTGCACATCGTGTTTCGACGTAAACTAGCCTCGGTTTTTTGTCCCATCTATTTTGTACGTTAGTATTGTCCATTCCGGCTGGTGGCGAGTCCTCATGCCCCAGTCCCATACTACCTCCTACTGCTGACTCAGCCACATAAGTAGAACGGTTGGCGCACTTTTGTTTTTCGTCTTGATCAGTTAGGTGGGATCTTTTGGACTAGTAGCCCCTCTTTGCACGCCACTATTGCAAGTGCATAACTTAGACGGGCTTAGCTCAGGCGCTCTTATCAGCCTAGACTGCAACGCTTCGCGACTGCTAAAAGGTGCTACGCGGGGTCTCGTGTGTCTACAGCCGTGTCAATACGGGCACTATGAGATTATGCAGGGGAGCACTCTATGATTATGTTTGCGTGAGTATTGATCATAGTGGTTGTTGCAATTTCCTCGGCGACTTGCGTGTTTAGGTTCGATCCGCTTTATGAAATAATTGTTGTCACCTTGGCTAGCCACTATTTCACAGTGACACCATTCCGAACAGGCTCCTGAAATTTCAATGAACGACTGAGTCAAGTGCTCACATTCGCATTCAGTCTCCGATTCAGCTAATCCTACTCTTACAACTAACCAGGTTTT